TCTTCCTCGCGTTGCCTTATTCTGGGTACCTGTCATTTCCCTGCTGGCTTCTTTAAAGTTCAGGAAGACAAAAATCAACTGGCAAGTAACCAATATGATTTAAAAAGCTGGGGATAGGTAATTCAGGAAGCAGACTAGAGGACAAGGCTCCTCCTCTTTCTTCAATCTGTGAAAAACTAAGCTATCCTGTTAGTAAGCAAGAGTTATTATTTGACAGTCAGGGACTTAGGGGAACAGAGTCTTTCTGAGCCCACTTGTCAGCAAGCTGTTTTTCCCCACCTCAACTTTGCTGAAGATGCCAAGGCTCACGAGGACAGTGAACAACGCAAGAGCCAAATTCCCATCTAAGTTACCGTCAGTATCATCTCTGTAGCAGGCCTGGAGCACATCAGTTGCTATTACAGTTTTTACATCTGTACTCATGTTACATATGTTACAAAGCTGCTTTACTGCTGACTTGCCTCATTTCTACGAGAACTGGCCGGAATCATCACCTGGATTGATCCCAAAAGCCTAATGCCTGAAAAGCAGGGTGCAGTCTTTACTTACTCATCTCCTTCTGGGCAGATTCCCGTGGTCTCGTCATACTTGCTACAGTAAATGTCAGGGCTGTAGTTAAATGTACCATCCCGGCGGCGGATAGATCTGCGACGACGTTGGTTGACAAAGTGCCAGTGGAAGCAAGTGTAGGGCCGGTGCTGAGTGCACTTGTGCTGCACGAAAAGAGGGCACTGCTCCGTGCGGAACTCCTTCAGGTAACTGCAGGCAGAAATCCAACAGCAGGAGATTAGGACCAGGATGCTGGTCAGAGGCAATATCCAATCACCCTGCAGAGTCCAGGCCAAACCGGGCCACATCCATCACGGAGATGCCTGCTGTCCTTCCCGCACCCTCCCCTGCTTTTGCTCAATAGTGGAGGCTGGAAGCTGCTGGTTGTCTGTAATGGGAAGGTATCAGTTACCAGGCCAGTTAACACAAACGTGAATGGTAACAATAGCTGAAATCACTTTCTATTGTGCCTTTTGGTATCATTTTGAAGATGCCTTTCATGAGCTTAGAGAATAGTTTGTGAGAAAACAGAACTCTTAAGTACCTTTCTATCTATTTCTATCTCTACATCCGAGATCTACGTGGGAAAAAGAGGTTTCCTTCCCATATGTTCGGTTAAAAAAAAAAAAAAAAAAAAAAACAAAAAAAACACGAAATACAGTTCCCTGTAGCCATGTTTAAAGTTTCAAGTTACTGTGAGAGGAAGATTTTTAAGAGACACTTTCATGCCTTGTCCCTCTGGTTTAACTCGGCTTCTTCAGCACACAGTCAACTATGAAATTAAAATTAATCCACTTCTCTCTTGCAATCTTGTGAATTCAGGACTCAGTCTTGAAAAGTGGGATAACTATCCTCAAACTCCTGCATGTTTATGGTGCTTTAATTTTAATATGTAATTCTCTGAAAGTACGTATCTTCTTTTATCCTGAGAACTAAAGAAGTCACAAGCTTTTATTTGTGACACTAATAACAGTCTCTAAACGCAGATTGTAGAGGATTACAAAATGGTTTAGATCAACATAATGATCTGACTGTGATCTGTGTGTAGGTGCTTACAAAATCCACGCTGCCTGAAACCCACCAGCTGCCCTGTATTTCTAGGGAACATATGAACAGTTCAAATAGCTCAGACCCGAATCCCACCAGGTTTGGTCTCAGAGACACCTCCAAGAACAACACAGAAGACCCAGAGCATTCTGGTCTCTTAGATTTAGAGGTCAGTTTAAACAGCAAGTAATAAAATTTGTAGGTCAAAATAAAAGTGCTAGTATTCTGCTGGAAGCAACAGGATGATGTAACAACAGATAGACTCATTTTAAACCGCATGCGTACTTCGAGGCAATAAAACGGAGTATAGGAATTTGTCAAGTATTCATTCCCATATCATACGATCTTTCCATCATGTTTGTAAATAAATGGAAAGATGTTTGATGCTCAAAGATGTATTTACAGATAATATCATCATGCTAGATTCATTCTGAAAGCAACATCTGTAAATAAAGCCTCCTTCCCTCTTCACCCCTGGCTGAAGAGAAAGCCTCAGGAAAATGCACAAATTCAACAACCCAAGTGGTATTATTTGTTTGCTGCAAGGAGAGACTATCACGGGCAACAGCCGTCCTACATTGGATTTTGCAGGCATGACAGGATAAAAGCTCTTCCTCCTCTTCAGCCTCCAAATACACGAGACTTGCAGGTTCCACTGCTTCAGATCTGCAAATGCTCGGGGCTGGAGAGCCTCTGCAGCCGGCTGTAAGCTCTTTTCAACCCAAGCCCATCTGTCCCCTGCAACCCAGCGAGGCTGGAACAGTATCTGCACAGGGGCCCAAGGCTTAACATCAGAAAGACCGGAGCCAGCATGCAGAACCAGCTCTGTTTGGAGTAGGTGAGGGCTAACAACACCACTTTGTTCCTTTCTGCTTTTAAAAAGCCAACTCCATTCAAATAGAGGTCCCTACTCCAACCACAGCAGCAATTCATCTGAAAACTCAATGCCGCAATAAAATTAATCCATTCTTGAAAAGCTTTCTAAGCTGTTGGACCAAGTACAGTTGTAAAAGGTGGAGTTCCAGATTATTTTATCTTATCAGCGCACTAAGACTTAGAACAAAAGTGACTGTAACAACATTTAGGTTAGAAAGTGAATTAAATAACTTAAGCAGCTGTCCACAGATACTACACAGTCACCAACCAATCCCTTCCACCCATACATCTCCACGTACATCTTAGAGTCATGGGATTTATGGTACTCCCATTTTACATATGGACAAACCGCAAAACAGCTGGCTCCGTGCCGCAGCCAGTATCATAGAGCAGTCAGAGTCAGAGTCGGTGACAGAAAACAAGAGCATTTAAACTCCTCCATCTCCACTGAAGTGAGTCCTGGGCTTAATTCGAAGAACAGCATCCTGACCTCTTCCGTGCTCTGGAAACTAAGGGGAAATATCAGACTTATGCAACCTGGCTATTAAGCCAGTGTGATAGGCCTGTATGAAACACTGTTAAAAATCCCAGAATTTAACAACTGCATGATGAACCGAGCTGAAACAGCTTCCCTTC